ACCTTTTTGAGGGTCATTCTGTAATTCTACTTCCAGTTCCTGAAGTTCCTCCTGTAGAACTTCTTCTTGATATTTCACACACACCCCCGCCCTATTTTTTCTTGCCATATATGCTATTGTCAATCCTTTGATGTACACCTTTGCTGTGTCCCACAATATTTGTTTTGTTGTTTCTTCTTTCCTATTTTATTTGAAGAAGTCCAACTCCATCTCCATTATTTGTACATATTCTTTATCTTTCATTATTGCTTGGTTCACTGTCCATCTTCCTCTTCTCTTCTGTCCTCTCCATATCACTTTTATTGGATTATGATCAGCCCAAGTGTTGGTCATTATTCTACTTCCTCTATATCATTTCTCAATCCCGATGTCATCCATGCCATATCAATTCTTGACCATTTGAGTAAAAGATATACTACCTACTTTTTTCATTTCATTCCCTCCATATGTCTTGTAAGTTTAATTCTTTTGTCATCTCAAAAATGTGCTTGGAAATATTCTCCTCTTAATGTTATTATTTTTACTACTTTTATAGTCCTTTTTAACCTCCACCACTGCATTGAAATCACCTATTAAGCACACATTTTCATACTCATTCTCAATTATTTTTTTCGTGTAATTTCCTATAAAATTATTTCTGATTACTGTTTGGTGCATATATTACAGTAAGCAAGATTTGTTTTAAATTTATTATTATTTCCATCATTAATTCTCTTCTGTCCCCATCTGTATATATTTGTTTTGCCTTTATCCTTTCCTTAATATATACAGCAATTCCCCTTTTTTGTTGCGCTAAGGATGTGTAGTGATTCCCCATTTTTTGATTTTCCAGTATTTTAGCGTGGTGTTTCTTAACATGTACTTCCTGAAGACATTATATCTAGGTTCAATTTCTGTATCTTAGTCAATGTTTGTTTGTTTTTTGCTGGGGAATTTAGCCCATTGATGTTAATTGAGAGCATATTTGTTTCTTCCCCATCTTGTTATTTGTATATGGGCATATCTTTATGTGTTATTCAATTTAGTCTTGTTATGCCAAGTGACCACCAAAGCAGTAGTGGGTTCCTACCTTGGTCACTACCGGTTCAGTGGGTGGCTGTGCGTGCACATGTGTACACGTGTCCCTAACGTGCACCCGTGCGCACCCCTAACGCACCAATTAGCTGAGAGGATGAAGAAATGAAAAGCTAGGAGCGACCCTCCCACCTACTTATGTGTTTGTTGCTTCTTTTATCCTCTCAGCTTATCGTCAGAGGAACTGGTTCAGTTGTACCAGTAGTTTTTTTTTTACTACCGGTTCAGCTGAACCGGTAGTTATTTTTACTTTTGGTTCAGCTGAACCTGTCTGAACCAGTAGCATATCACCACTGCACCAAAGCATTCTCATTTCCATAATATGGAGATTCTGCTATTATTTTTTTGCTGTGGGCCAATGTTTCACTTCCACACATTGTAACTGGTCTAATGACTGTTAGATAGACTTGGATTTCAAATGTAGAGGGATTTTCTTATTGAATAGAACACAGTTGGTGTCATTTCAACAAGGTGTCATGTCATATTTGGGCAGTCTGTGGTGTTCAGGAACTATGTTTGGCCCCTGATGGAAACCTTATTTGATTTCAAATTATTAATCCTGTATTACTGATCACCAGTATTTTTAATATTGAACCTTGTTTCACAGACACATCTACTAGATCAGATTATAATGCAGCTGGAATAGGATTTGAATGCCATTGCTCAGGTAAATACCTACAGAGAGCCCACAGTCTGATTCTTTGCTTTTCACTTCAGATGATGGGCAGTTGTTTTCACAATGGCTGATGTATGTTCTTTTCCTTTAACCATTCATCATTCTAGCCTTTATCTACTGCAGGATCTTCTACATGTTTTGAACTAATATGATTTTGAGCTTTCCTTTGCTACTTGTCATCAGTTCTTCTTTTTGTTTGACCAGCCCATTTCCATTTCAGTTCTTTTATTGAGAGGTCCTTGGTGCTCTCTGAGCTTGTTTGTTTTCTTACATTTCCCATGTTTCCTTACCCTAACTAGGGAACATCATCAATGCTAGTAAGGAGTGCTGTTTGCTGTCAGTTTATATTCTGGTGACTTGCCTGTCTGTATGGGTGGTCTTAGAGATTCTTTGGTTGATGGCTCTTTGACAGTTTCTTGATTGGGTATTGTTTATTTGATTGTTGGTCTGAAGTTAACTTTGGAGTTAATCTATGTTAATCTCAGTGCTGATTACTGGCGAAGAGGTGTTGAAGTCTTTTCGTTCTCTTTTGTGCTTGTTGATTGTCTCTTTTGCATAATCTATAGATTGTCAACTAAAAAGATACTCCTTTGGCCTTTTTAGCTGCCAGAAAAAGGGACTGGGGGAAAACAGTGCATTCCTTAAGTGCCTAGATAATCACCCTGGCAGCCCAAAATTTTCGGAGCGCAAGAAAATTACTGGAGAGCATGATTGATGACTCTTGGGGATGGATGTGTCCCATTGAAGAATACACATGCAGGGGGTGGAGAGAAGATCAGGGTCAAGGGAGAAATGAATGGTGTATTTTAGTATCGTCTGCATCCAGCTAACACCAACACAGCCACTTTTAATAAATCAATTTTCTTTTCTCTGAGATGCGGCTAGAGACTTATGATTTGAATGGGTGTGGATTTGTTGGAGTCTTGACATAGATGTTGTTAATGTCTATATGTCTATTGATGGCTGATTTGTCAGAGTGTCAGGCTTCTAGAAATTCCCTGGCATTTTTGGACTTGGCCTAATCTAGGATTGTCACATTTTCCCAGTTGGCACTATGGTTAAATCTGTCTATGCATTATGAAATTAAATAATTTTTGTCGTGTCTTCTGACTGCCAATTCATGGATACCTTCCATCTGTTTGTCCTACATAGTGGTTGTTGCAGTTCTTGTAGATGATTCCTGTTTTGTCTTCTGTGGTGGCTGCGTCTTTTGGTTTGCTTAGGATGTTTTGAAGGGCTTTAGTTGGCTTTTGTGCTACACAGATTCCATCTGATTGTAGTAGTCTGTTGGTGGTTTCTGAGATATTGATGTATGGCAGTATAATTCTTTTTAGGGTTTGTGTTGGTGGAGCTCTGTTGGGTTGAGTGGCCAGGGACATGTTGGAATTATTGTATAGATGAGGGGTGTCAAATTCAAGGCCTGGAGGCTGGATCTGGCCCACGGGAAGCTTAGATCTGGGCCACTCTGAAAATAGTGAAGGACAGGCCCGTGGTGCCTCTGCTAGCGAAAACGGAGCTCCGGAGGGTCACGTGTGGCCTTCCCGAGCTCTGTTTTTGCTGGCAGAGGATTGCAGGAAGCCAGGCCAACCGAAAAGAGAGCTCATGAGGGCTGCGTGCAGCCCTACCGAGCTCTGTTTTCACTAGCAGATGTTTGCAGGAGGTTGGCCCAGCCAAAAACAGAGCTCAGGAGCCGGTTTTCACTGGCAGAGCGCTCGGGCCACCACAGGTGCCTTCTCAACATGAGTGACATCAAGCTGGCTGCACCCACTCTGGCCAAGCCCCCCAGCCTGCCCAAGGTCAAATACAACCCTGATATGGCCCTCAATGAAATCGAGTTTGACACCCCTGGTATAGATGCTGTATTTTCTTTTTCTGCTGTTCTGGGTTGGTGCAGTGTGTTTGGGCTCGTTTAAATAAAGTCCTTATCCAGCTTCTCTTGTGGGAGATTGGCTTGTTGCTTTGGTAGTTGAGCACCTGATTAGTATGGGTGGGTTTTCTGTAAACTTGCATTTCTAGTTTGCCATTGTGGTTTCTGTTGATCAGGATGTCCAGGTAGAGTAGCGAGTTGTTTACTTCTCTATTAAACTGGATTCCTTTAAAATGTTATTGATGGTCCTGTGGGTATTTTCTAATTGGTCCTTTCTTATTATGGTGAGATGTCATCTACATATATGATCCATATTTTTGGTTCTATTTGTGGAAATGCTATGGCTTCTAGACGGCATTGCATGACAACCTGTGCTATAAGTCCTGAAAGCGGTGATCCCATAGGTGTCTCTTTAATTTGTTGGTAAATTTGGCCATCAAATTGGAAATATGTAGTTAAGCAGAGGTTTATGAGATCCATTATCCTGGTGTTTTGATCTTCATGCATTCAGTTAAGTCAGGTGTACTGTGAAGTAATGCAGTCATGGATTCTTTGGCTAATTCTAGATCTATAGATGTGAACAGGGCTATGACATCAAATGAGACCATGATTTCATCCTCATCTAAAGTCACATCCCTAATTGTTTGAAGACACTGTAGAGGTGTTTCAGCACCATCATTAATTTCAAACCATCACTGGACAAATGGTTGTAAGTTGAAGACTACTTGCAGAATACTTAGTTGGCAAAGTTTTTTTAAAAATAATGGTTTGGTTTGGTTTGGTGCCTTTGAATCAGCATAAAGGTCTAGCAAGTTCATGCTGTTTCCTTGGCAAGATTTAAAAATAGTTGCCCATTGCTTTCCTCCTAAGATTAAAAGAGATTGACTGGCCCCAGGTTGCTTTGTGCTCTACAGTAGATGGAACTAGAATCATTTTGTCTTAACCATAATATCAAATTGGATCTCTAGCTTATAAGTTAAGACTTTAGAATACAGTTTCAAAACAAAATAAAATAAAAAAGAATGCAACTTTTTAACTGAGAAGGGGGATTCTGGAAATCAAAATGTTCTGTATTTGGGAACTGATTTATATATGTCAATATACATAAAATATCTGAAAGCTGGGTGAACTCCAAAATACATCCATTCAATTTGGAGCTATATTCATTCTCTCCCTCCCTCTCCCTCCCTCCCTCCCCCCTTCCTGTATACATACATACATACACACACACATACATACACACCACACACATATACACATATGCTCTACTATTGGAATATGAATTCCTGCATCAAACAAAACTGGCAGGAATATTGTTTTAAACAAATAGAATACTGTTGCAATGCTTCTGGCTATAGGAGACTTGTGTTTTATTATTCACAGTTGAAAATGAGAGCAGGAGGAATGAGTGATTCATCAAAATGGAAGAAGCAGAAACGATCACTAAGAAACTCTTGCCATGTAACTAAGGTATCTCAAGGAATAGAACAGTCAGCTGCCAATGGCACAGGTATGGTATGACAAATAATGGTTTATGTATTAAAATGTATGTACTCTAAATATGGGTAATCACTGAGAAAGTACTCCCTCTTTCTTGTTTGCTATATTAGTTACATTCTTTTATGTAAATTGGTCCTAAATTGTGAGGATTTAAGAAGAATATAACAGATAAATGGAAATTTGGCTCAGGTTTGCCCTGAATTAAATTATTTTTGTTAAGATAAGGTGAGGTGAGGTAAGGTAAGGTAAGATAAGATGATAAGATAAGATAACCCTTTTTGTCACTTTTTGTCTATGAACAAACTGGAACACATTAAAAAATGAAATTCTGATGCCCGGTCTCAAAAGTGTGTGTGTGTGTGTGTGTGTGTGTGTGTGTGTATGTAAGTATGTATACACATACACCCATACCATACATAATATACATATGCTCTCAATACACATGCGCGCACACACGCGCGCACACACACACACACACATCACAGACCATTTAGAACAGGGGTCTCCAACCTTGGCAACTTTAAAACTTGTGGACTTCAACTCCCAGAATTCCTCAGCCAGCAAGGCTGAGGAATTCTGGGAGTTGAAGTCCACAAGTTTTAAAGTTGCCAAGGTTGGAGACCCCTGATTTAGAATATATAGCAGAAAAAAGAGTCTAGAGAGTTGAGGAGGTGATATATATGGTATAAAGCTACTACAGAATTTAGTTGTTCTGCTTTGGATACTGCAGAGTATCCAAGTATCCTCCCAGAGGTAACAAAGGAAATCCAGAGTATCCTCCCAGAGGTAACAAAGGAAATTGGTCATGGAGAGGATGTGTAGCATCCCAGACAATACTGCGGATCGTGGGCAAGCCTTGCTTATATGCTATATCCTGGTGTTGTGGCTGGCAGCTGACAGAGTCGGACAGTAGCGAGGAGTTTGGGGAGGAACCTGGAGGACTTGGATGAGGGCTCTGCATCAGAGGCAGGGATGGGGCCAGGGCAGGCTGGCAGTCATCAGCTGTCTTCAGACTCAGACAGCAGAGGTGGGGGAGTGTTTGGAACCGGTTCCCAACCTGTGCATGTGCAGAGCTACCAGAATACAAGAACAATTGAAAAAGCAGGGTCGACTCAGGAGTAAGGCCTGAGATGATTGGCCCCTCCCATAGGACATAAAAGAGGAGCGAACAGGATGTGAGCTTTTGCAGGAAGCAATTAGTTCATCTGATCAATTAAAGCTTTGAAAAGTTCTGTTTGACTCTGTGTCAACTTTGGCCTTTTCTCTGCATCTGGCAATTAATTCTCTGGCAGCATTCCAAGTAGAATAAGGTGTGTGTTTATAAACATTCCCCTGAAAGACTGTTTGTGAAGCTTTGCAGGCCGTGAATGAACGTAATTCACAGCCGTGGAAATAAAAGGTTTTGCCAGGACTAAGATTTGTACTTTATGCTTTCTAAGGAAGCTTAGGTCAGGACAGCTAGATACAAGAAAGTGGACTTCCAATAATCTTTTCTGCCATCCTCACCACTCTCTGCACAGCCTTCCTGCCCGAAATAGTAATACATCCAAACCACACAGTAATATAATGCAATGTGGCAGGATGCTTTTCATTGTCTCTCGATAGAAAGTGGAAAGGATAAGGAAAGGGAGATGTACACTTCTCATACAACACAGAAAACACAGGTGCTGCTGTTCCTACTTTACCAGTGTCTCACTTTTGAATGACCAAGCTAACCCACTCGCCATCTGCACACCCAAAAACTTGATACTATTAACCACTTTCACAGTTGAATTGTTAATACAGGTGTATGGCTCTGCTTGCCTTTTCTGAAATAGACAATGATCTCTTTTGTTTTTGCTGCATTTAAAACCAGCTGTTTTTATTACCCTATTCATCAAACCCTATATCTTCTCCCAGTAATTTCCCTCATTATCATCCTGAATAAGGCCTATCACTGTTGTATCATCTGCATAATCACAATATGGTTGGATAGTAAACCTTGCGCAAAAGTCATGGATCAGCAAAGTGAACAAATAATGTAAAAGAGGTTCCAATGTTTCTATATCTATAAAAGCCACAGTGGAATGGGAATCAGTACAATACTTCACTGTTGTCTAGACCAGGGGTCCCCAACCACCGGGCCGCGGACTGGTCCCGGTCCGTGGAGCACTCTGTACCGGGCCGCAAAGGAAAAAAAAATGGCGGCTTTCTTCGCCTTCGGTGAGTGCTGCTGTGATCGGGGATCAAGGACACAAATGAGAGAAGGGGAGGGAGGAAGCAACCGAAGCCTGTCCTGCTCTCTGGCTCAGTGGCTTCGGCTTCCTCCCGCCTCATTCCTCTCTCAGTCGCTCTCTCGCTCCTCCACCAGCCCAGGAAGAAACTGCTTCAAAGAAGCCGGGGGGGTGGTGGCTTTTCCTGTCGGCGCAGCTCCTCCGAAGCACCCGTTTCACCCCCACCCCGCCGCCAATCAATCCAGGTTAAATCCAGTGCTCCGTTTTGCCTGCCTGCCTGCCTTCGTTTCTGGTAGTTTCGGAGCAGCTTCTGCTGAGAATAATAACTATTCGCCTCTTTTTCTCAGCCGAAGCTGCTCCGAAACTACCAGAAACCAAGGCAGGCAGGCAGGCAGGCAGGCAGGCAGAACGGAGCACTGGATTGAACCGCAGGCGGCGGGGCGGGGCGGGGGTGAACGGGCGCTTCGGAGGATCCGAAACCACCAGAAACGAAGGCAGGCAGGCAGAACGGAGCACTGGATTGAACCGCGGGCGGCGGGGCGGGGGTGAACGGGCGCTTCGGAGAAGCTGCGCTCCGAAACCACCAGAAACGAAGGCAGGCAGGCAGAACGGAGGATTGAACCGTGGGCGGCGGGGTGGGGGTGAACGGGCGCTTTGGGGAAGCTGCGCCGACAGGAAAAGCCACCCTGCCGGCTTCTTTGAAGCAGTTTCTTCCTGGGCTGGTGGAGGAGTGAGAGAGCGACTGAGAGAGGAACGAGGCAGACACCTGAGGGATGAGGCTGAGGGAGGGAGGGAGACACCTGAGGGATGGGGCTGATGAAGGCAGGGCCGAGAGGCGAGGCTTCTCAGCCGTCCTGCAGGGACTATCTGTCGCTCAGGGTTGCAATGAGGAGGCATTGGCGTTCCCTGAACTTGGTGGTTTGCTGGCAGACGTTTTATTACCCGACTAGGTAACAACATCAGATGTTACCTAGTCAGATAATGAAACGTCTGCAAGCAAACCACCAAACTCGGACACCCCCACCCCCCCCGGTCCTTGAAAAAGTGTTTCTGAGTGAAACTGGTCCCTGGCACAAAAAAGGTTGGGGACCACTGGTCTAGACCAGGCTTGCACAACTCATAGACGGGAATGGGACACACTGATACATTAAAAATAATCATTGGTCACAAAGGAATTGCTGATGGACCGGTCAGCTATTTGGCAATAGGAAGGGACCTGGTGATCAGTGAGATCTGGAGAGACAGCCATTCAATATATGTTTTTCTCCTTTTGGACAGCGTCAGTGTTTGGCAATACTGGATTTATTGAATTTTCAAACAAACACTAGTGGGTTGCACAATTAGTTCTTAGAATATGAACAAAAACAGGGCAATATTAATTAAGATTTAATAATAGTGGTGTACAATAAGTTTCATGTGTAAACTGTTTTACTGCCATGCTTCATAAAATAGATTATTTTCTTTTATTGAAATAAAGTGTTTTGTTTTCTCCAAGCACAATATTTCTCATTGATGCCACAAAGTTTCACTTCGATCTCATCTATTCACAGAATATTGTTCCATAATAATCTTCTTTGCCTCCCTTCCTTCATCTCACCTTAGTTTAAATACTGTTATCAATTTAGTCATAATGAAGTGAGCAGTAGCCCAGGAAAGAATATATCTTTTAATAAAATTCATTAGTTTGAAAAAGTACAACTAGTCTCCTTCTGGTTTTAGTAAACAAAAATCTTCCATCCAGGAGCAATTTGTCAAATTCCAACATCAATCTCTTATTCCAGGTAACTTTTTAAAATAGTTTATGGAAAAGCTGTAGTATTATGCCTTGATCTTAGCACAGGATATTGACAAATTACTCTTACTGTTAGGAAGGGATTTTCCCCCTAATATCCAGAATGTGCATATTTTTTTCTGAAAGGAATTTATGATTTATTTATTATTCAAATTTATATAGCTGCCTACTTCACAAAATGTGACTCTGGGTGATGTACAACAATTGAGTAAGAACAAATATAAAAACAACAAATATCAAATTCAGATTAAAGTAAAAATTATGAAAATATTATGGACCTGGAAGCAAACTGGTAATATAGCTTGCATTACAGAAGTGTAACATGGGCTGTTCTAGTATTGCTTGTGTCACTACATTTTGTAATGGCTGAAGCTTTTGAATTCTCTTCAGGGGCAGCCTCATGTAGATTGCATTGCAGTGATCAAATTGAGGTGACAATGACACGAATGACTAAGTACCTCGTGCCAATCCAGGAATGGTCACAACTGGAGCACAAGATAACGGTGTGCAAAGATGTTCTAGCCTTGATTGCCACCTGCTTCTTCAGCAGGAGTTGTGAGTATAGGGTGCAAACATGACCTATCTGGACAGTGCAAACACATCCAGCACCAAAAATGGCACAATCCTGGAAAGCAGTGGACTTCAAGTCAAAATCCACTCACCAGGATTCAGTGAAGTTTGTTGTTCCCCATCCAGATCCTCATAGCCTCCAGACACAGGGATAAGATGTTCACAGCATCATTTATTCATCAGGGACAGAGATGTATAATTGGATATCATCAATATAGGAGTGAATTAGGGGGAGAGTGGAAAACATATTAAGATATGGCACTGGTTCTCATGGTACTCTTAACAGTTTATTGAAGACACTAACATCATTTGTCTCAGGATAGTTTTAGTTATAAAAACCAAAGAGAATAATTGTCATTAAATTTGTCATTAAACTCTTCTGTAAAAATGAAAATAGCCAAAGGTTTCAATACAGAGGTCTGGAAACATTTTATTGTCTTTTTTATCCTTTCTGAACTCCTTAATTCTCTAGAGCAGGGGTGTCAAACTCGATTTCATTGAGGGCTGCATCAGGGTTATGTTTGATTCAGGGTGTAGTTGGGATGGCCGTGGGCGGAGTGGGCGTGGTTGGGGTGGCCATGGCCAGCTCAACGTCACTCATGTTAGGAGCACCTGTGGTGGCCAAGTGCTAAGGCAGGATTTCTGTGACACCCTCCCTCACTCTCATAATTTCCCTCCTTCACTCTCATAATTTCCTTCCTTCCTTCCTTCCTTCCTTCCTTCCTTCCTTCCTTCCTTC